CTGCAAAACTGACAACACACTCAAGATAATAAAATCGTCTATCTCCCATTCCCTTCCCAATACTTCTAGCCAGGCAACTACTTACCTGCTTCCTGTCTCTGTAGATCAGTGTTTCGTATCTAGAATGCTATATAAATGGAGCTGCACAATGATTCTGATACTTCGTGTGATTATTCAATGTTTATCCACACAAACCCTTCTTTTAATTGATTTTTATTTAAATTAAAAACAATCTTATTTTACATACCAATCCCAATTCTCTCTCCCTCCCATCCTTCCACTTCCCCCACCTGCTCCCCATCCCAGCCCCCATCCACTCCTCAGGGAAGGTGAGGCCTCCCATGGGAGGATCATCAAAGTCTCTCACATCATTTGGGGGCAGGATCGAGGCCATCCCCTCTGTATCTAAAGCTGAGAGAGGATTCCTCCATAGAGAATGGGCTCCAAAAAGTCAGTTCATGAACTAAGTATAAATACTGGTTCCACTGCCAGTGGTCCCACAGACTGCCCAAGCCTCCGAAATGACACCCACATTCAGGGAACCTAGTTTGGTCTTATGTGGGCTTCCCAGCTGTCACTCTGGTGTCTGTGAGCTCCCACTTGCTCAGATGAGCTATTTCTGTGGGTTTCCCCAGCATGGTCTTGACCCCTTACTCATTACTCCTCCCTCTATACAACTGAATTCCAGGAGTTCAGCTCAGTACTTAGCTGTGAATCTCTGCTTCTGCTTTCTATCAGCTACTGGATGAAGGTTCTATGAGGGCATTTAAAGTAGTCAGCAATCTCATTATAAGGGAAGGGAATTCAAGGTAGCCTCTCCACTATTGCTTGGATTCTTAATTGGGGTCATCCTTGTGGATTCCTGGGAATTTCCCTAGTGTTATATGTCTTGTTAAGCCTATAATGGTTCCCTCTATCAAGGTATCTCTTTCTTTGCTCTCCTTCTCTGTCCTTCTCCCAACCAAACATTCCTGATCCCTTCATGTTCTCCTCCCCCCTCCTCTTTCTCCTATCTCCACCCCCCTCCCCAATGCTCCCAATTTACTCAGGAGATCTTGTCCCTTTCCCCTTCTCAGGGGTCCATGTATGTCTCTCTTAGGGTCCTTCTTCTTTCCTAGTTTCTCTGAGGTGTGGATTGTAGGCTGGTTATCCTTTGCTCTGTGTCTAATATCCAATTATTAGTGACTACATACCATGTTTGTCATTCTGTCATAAACCCTTCTTTTAATGATGATAGTTACTTGCCGTACCTTGCCCTGGTCACCATAGTCTTTCCCTAAAGGCAAGGCCTAGCTCCCAAGCAGGAAACAAAACAAGGGAAAGGAAAAGTCTGCTGAGGGAGGTCATCTCACCAAGGAAAAGAAACAAGGGACACACTGGTTGTTCCTTTGGAACCAGAACTAAGAACTGGAGACTTGGAAAGGAAACTTGATGACCAAAGCCTTTCTGACTTAATTTTCCAGTGAAACTGGTTAGCTATCCACTCCTTATATCCAGTTTAGTCCTTACCATACTGCAAAAGAGCTTTGCTTTCCTGTTGGGTAGATTAGGAGACTGAAGTGCAAAACTATTTGATAGCTGCTCAAGTTCTCACAGCTAACAAGTGCCTATGTTGGGAATTGGACCCATGTTTTTTCCTGCTATTTCATCCCAGCCCCAGTACTGTCAAATGCACCCAAAGAGGCACCCTTCAGGGTAAAAGCTAGTGTACATTTTCTTCTTTGCCTTCATTAGTTGTCATTCGCACTTAGGACAGCTTTTAAAGAGAAGGGAGAAAGTGACGTGCCAAGTGAAGAGACAACAGAGGGGCCAGAGGAAATCCCCACAGGGAAATGGAATCTCTCTCTCTCTCTCTCTCTCTCTCTCTCTCTCTCTCTCTCTCTCTCTCTCTCTCTCACACACACACACACACACACACACACACACACACACACACACACTATGGAGAATGGGGATCCCTAGACCCCTGGAATCACAAGGATCTGATTCAGGGCCCAGAGCCACCACTTAGTGACCTTGTTCAGGTGACTTCCCCCTCTCTCTGCCTCTGTTGCATTTCCAGTGAATGGCTCTGACAGACAAGCCAGAAGACTATGAGAACTGAATGTTGTGCTGGGCCACAGGTGCTTAGCATAGCACCTGACAAAAATTAAGCACAAGCCACTAGTTAACATTATTATGAATTCTCCCACAAGGTTTTTCTGCTATCCACATCTTTTGTTCTACAAGTAAGGCAATGAAAATACATACACACTATCTAGTGGACATAAGCATAACAAATAGGAGAAACAGAGACCCTCAGGGGAATCATCCAGGAGTACATAGCAGAGCATTGGAGAGTATTTTTGCTGAATAGCTGAGGCCATGAGAAGCAGGAAGAACAAGAAACACAGACCAGTGGTTAGGTACAAGGAGAAATGAACTGAAGGCTAGGAGATCAGAGGGACAGAACATTGCAAAACATTGTTTATTTAGTGATTGTTGCATAATAAACTCTTCATATGCAATTTAACACTGACAGGTTGCCACCTTTGTAGTAAATTTACTTATCCAATAACTGGCAGAGATTAAAGTTTGAGAGGCAAAACGCCCAGGCGAGACTGGATCCTTCATTGGCTACCCATCTTCATAGCCCATCTTCCAGGAGTCAGAAGCCAAACTAGTAGGGTCTTAACAGTCGTCAGTTTCCCTCTAAGCCCATTGCCTTCTCAGAGTACTCCCTGCAGGTCTAGGTAGGGTCCTACTCTTTTTTTGGCGGGGGCGGGGAGTTTCGAGACAGGGTTTCTCTGTATTGTTTTGGAGGCTGTCCTGAAACTAGCTCTGTAGACCAGGCTGGCCTGGAACTCACAGAGATCCACCAGCCTCTGCCTCCAGATCGCTGGGATTAAAGACAGGCGCCACTGCTGCCTGGCTGGGTCCCAGTCTTAAACCCCACTCTACAAACTACCACTGGGAAGCAACCCCATCCCTTAGAACCATTCCTTGCAGGGAAACAGGCTTTCAGAGCTCAGATAAAGCTTTCAGAGCTTCTCATACTGAGGGTTGTCTTAGCAGGTAGGATCCAGGAAGAGTCTGTCCCACACTAGAGCCACTCTGAACAACAGAGCTCTGTGACTCATCTCCTCTGTGGAGCACCTCTATGGTGCCTGACAGGAGCCTGCAGAACTGAACTAATGAAGGCTTGGAGCTTTTGCATAGCTTGCAAGCCAGCCTGAACCCCTAAGACACTCCCATCCCCAACTAAACCAAGGACTTCCTACATAAATTCTTTCAGAAACAGAGGGTATCCTATTCTACCCCCCCAGGGTGCTGAACCCCCAAATTCAGTTACAACAACGTGGGCCAGCTAGTGTTGTCAGGTCTGTGAGAGGGCCAAAAGCTGGCCTTTCCCAAGGGCAACTGTGTGTCCCCCAGCCTTCTCTATCCAGAGCCCTAGGGAAAGGAAGCCAGCAAGGCTAGAGGCCGGCCCTGCAGTCAGTTGTTCTGCGGTCCTCCCAACCCCCACCCGGTGGGGGGCAAAGACAGCGGTGAGTTTCTGCCTCACTGCAGCCAGGCCCGCACCTGCCGCTTTGCCCTGAGAAGCCAAAGCTGGGCTGGGTAAGATCAAGGTGGGGCTCATGGCTATAGGAGGGGACGCGGGAGCAGGAGAACGCCGGGGCGGAGGGCTGGCGCTGGGGTCTGCAGATCCGGTCTAGCAGCATCTTAATAATAGAAATACATCTCCCTCGGGGCTGGATCCCCGCCTCTGGCCCGGGATACTTAGTATTGATCGGTTCATCTTCCTACTTCATTATGTTGGCAAGAAGCTCTCAAGAGCTCCTCAACTTGTGCCCTCTCCACCTCTCCCGGCCCAGGCAGCACCCAGCTAAGCTCTGCATGGAGTTCTGGTGGGTAACAGACGCTCTGACATAGAATGGGGTGTTTTATTTGTGGTAGGGGTCGGGGACACCGGGGTCTAACCCGGTGGCCAGCTCGGTGGCGGCGACGAGCGACACACCTCGCCGGCTCTGGCCCCGCCGGTCCCTTTAATTCGAGTTCGCTGCGGGGCCAGGTGCGGCGCTGCGTGGCGCGGTGCGGCGCGGTGCGGCTGCGGGCGGCGGCCGGGCGCTCCGTACGCGCCGCCCGCGGGACTGCAGAGTCTGCTCCCGGCTGGCCGCCCGCACCCCGCCGCCACCACCGTCACCGCCCGCTGCCCGGATTCTGCCTGCCCTGGCTGTCACCCAGGAACATGGAGGCTCGGGTACCCATCCGCAAGGGTAAATCAGTGTCCGGCGTTAGGCTGCGCGTGCTTCCATCCCTGCCCGGCTGCAGCGCTCAGGAGAGCTGCAGGGCACCCCGGTAGTCTGGGCGGGCGAGCTGATTCAGACCCCTGCTGTCAACCTGGAGGGCTATGGACCTGCGCCGGCCCCGGCAGGGTGAGGGGGGACTTGCCCCTTCAGAAGAGTGCATGGAATGGGCTCGGGGACCCTGCGGTCTGTGCGTGACATAGGGCGGAGGGCGCAGATTGGAGGTGGCGGGTGATGGGAAGTGCAGCTGACTGCATAGCCATGTCTGGTAAATAGTGGGTGGGTAGGACGCGAGTCACTTGGGTCCTCCTGGTTGCGTTTGCCTCTTGGCAACGGAGTAAAATAGGCTTCTCTGCAGTCGCTGTTTTTCCACTTGGCCTGGGTGGTGGGCTGCCGCGGAGCCCCCTTGCCTAAGAGGAAGCTAGATCTGGGGCAGCTGCCTGGCGAAGCCTGCTCTGCACCCTTAGAGTTCAGGCTCCTGTGTTTTCAATACGAGCCTCGATGGTCCCTCAGCTGGACCTTGCAGGCACTAGATAGGTTGTCCTCGGGGCCGCAGCGGGAGCCCACCGCACTGCACAGGAAAGGGTTAAGGTGGCACGCTCAAGCCGGCCACCTCTGGTCAGCCGTGCGGATTCCGGCGGGAGCGCGCCCGGCGGAATCCCGACTGGAGCCCGGGGCGATGGAGAGGGCCCAGACCCCTCCCCGCCCCTGGGGCCCGCAGGATTGGGTCGGCGGGGGGCCAGCCCGGAAGCCAGCTTCCTCTAGGCTCCCCCTCTCCATGAAGCCAATCCGCCTTGCAGCCTGCCAGGCAGCTTGAGCGTTTGTTCTGTGCTTCCCTGCCGAGATGTGAGTGATTTTCTCGTGGGAAGAAATCGGTGGTCCAGCGCCTGCCCAGCTCAAATGCCACCCAACCCAGAGCAAGGCCTGAGGCCCAGGGATCCCGGAGGGAGAGTAAGTTCAGCGACCCCAGCTATCCAGCATTCTACTGAGGCGATCTGGCTGTGTGCAGGGTCTCTCTGGCTGGGAAAGAGTGTGTGTTGGGGGAGGATTGCTTCGCTTCTTCACCGGACACAGCTAAGGTCAGAGAGGAAAAGCCTCCCCTTCGGGGATAGGTGTTCTGACACCAGGGTGGAGAGAGCTGGGTCACTCTGGTGGCAGCAGAGGACTAAGGGGGAGAAAGTGCTTCAAACTGATGGGAAGAAAGGCTTACCCAGGAGAGGCTAGCAAGGTGCAGGGCAGTTCTCTGTCACTAGCACAGGGGAAAGTAGGCACGGGGACTTGCCACTTGCAGAGAGGGTATCTGCCAGAGCCCTTCTAAGTGTTGTTTCAGCTATCTGAGATCCCTGGGTTCTACCTCTCTGCTGTGTTTTCCAGGCAACGTCACACCTCCCGAGGACAGCCAGGAGGACTCTGGCTTTTGCTGAGCTGTGCATCTTACCTCCTTCCTTCCAAAGACTTCAGACCCAGGCTTCACTCTTCTCAAGTCCTGAATGCCCCTTGCCAGGCATCCAACTATCCCTCCAGCTCTATCCAGTCCTAGAGCACACCTCCAAGACCTGGAGCCTGCCCTCCTGCTCAGAATGACTCACCATTATTTCCAGCGCAAGTGAGAAGATGTGACGGGGAGTTGAGCTGCCTGTTTGTGTATCTAGTGGCATCTGACCTGCTTCAAGGAAGAGAAGCTCAGGCTCCTGCCTGACCAGGTAAACCAATCAACCAATAACAGCCATATAGAGTCTTTGGGAGTGGTATCATGGATAAAGACCCAGGCCCCAAACACCCTACCATGAGTACCTCCTGTGGTGCAGGTATTGGCAAGACATTAGCACAGTGCCTGGCAGAGGGCTCCCTTCCCTCCTCCTCCTCCTATGGAGCTGTGTCTCAGAATGCGGAGCCTGTCTAGGCCACCTGCCCCTAGTGCAGGCCATTCTATATTTGAAAGATTGTTCCCTGAACCCCACTGATCCCAAGACAAGTTGCAAAGTAGCTACAGTGGCAGGGGTGGTGCTATGGCCTTGTTTCTGAAGTCTTGGCTGAGATGGGGGACATCAAGCACAGTTCGTGTCTAGTTGCCAGTGAGTGGGCATCTCACACATCCTTACCTGCCTCTGTCTTTCAGCCAAGCGAGACTGTGTCTCCAGCTCTCAGGGGGCTCTAGGGCTCTCCTGCAGGACCGCAGACTAATGCTTCTGTGTTTCCTGGGGCCCAGTTACCAGCACCCTGAGCTCTCTGCTGCAAGCAGCTGGAAGGCATAGAGCAACGCACTCTCCCCAGCCCCAATTATGACAGTGGCTACTGGAGACCCAGTGGATGAGGCTGCTGCCCTCCCTGGACACCCACAGGACACCTATGACCCAGAGGCAGACCATGAGTGCTGTGAGAGGGTGGTGATCAACATCTCAGGCCTGCGGTTTGAGACTCAGCTAAAGACCTTGGCCCAGTTTCCAGAGACCCTCCTAGGGGACCCCAAGAAGCGGATGAGGTACTTCGATCCCCTCCGAAATGAGTACTTTTTTGACCGTAACCGCCCTAGCTTTGATGCCATTCTGTACTACTACCAGTCTGGGGGCAGGTTGAGGCGACCTGTGAATGTGCCCTTAGATATATTCTCTGAAGAAATCCGGTTTTATGAGTTAGGAGAAGAAGCTATGGAGATGTTTCGGGAGGATGAAGGCTACATCAAGGAAGAAGAGCGTCCTCTTCCCGAAAATGAGTTTCAGAGACAGGTGTGGCTTCTCTTTGAATACCCTGAGAGCTCAGGGCCTGCCAGGATTATAGCCATTGTATCAGTCATGGTCATTCTGATCTCAATCGTAAGCTTCTGTCTGGAAACCTTGCCCATCTTCCGGGATGAGAATGAGGACATGCATGGTAGTGGGGTGACCTTCCACACCTACTCCAACAGCACCATCGGGTACCAGCAGTCCACATCCTTCACTGACCCTTTCTTCATCGTAGAGACTCTCTGCATCATCTGGTTCTCCTTTGAGTTTCTGGTGAGATTCTTTGCCTGTCCCAGCAAAGCTGGCTTCTTCACCAACATCATGAACATTATTGACATTGTGGCTATCATCCCTTACTTTATCACCCTGGGGACAGAATTAGCTGAGAAGCCAGAGGACGCCCAGCAAGGCCAGCAGGCCATGTCACTGGCCATTCTCCGTGTCATCCGGTTGGTAAGAGTCTTTAGGATTTTCAAGTTGTCCAGACACTCCAAAGGTCTGCAGATTCTAGGTCAGACCCTCAAAGCCAGCATGAGGGAATTGGGCCTCTTGATATTCTTCCTCTTCATTGGGGTCATCCTCTTCTCTAGTGCTGTCTATTTTGCAGAAGCTGATGAGCGAGATTCCCAGTTCCCCAGCATCCCAGATGCTTTCTGGTGGGCAGTCGTCTCCATGACAACTGTAGGCTATGGAGACATGGTTCCAACTACCATTGGGGGAAAGATAGTGGGATCCCTGTGTGCAATTGCAGGTGTGTTAACTATTGCCTTACCAGTCCCTGTCATAGTGTCTAATTTCAACTACTTCTACCATCGGGAGACAGAGGGAGAGGAGCAGGCCCAGTACTTGCAAGTGACAAGCTGTCCAAAGATCCCATCCTCCCCTGACCTAAAGAAAAGTAGAAGTGCCTCTACCATAAGTAAGTCTGATTACATGGAGATACAGGAGGGAGTAAACAACAGTAATGAGGACTTTAGAGAGGAAAACTTAAAAACAGCCAATTGTACGTTGGCTAACACAAACTATGTGAATATTACCAAAATGTTAACTGATGTCTGATGAAACCTATTAATGTACTCACAGCTCAACAGGACTAATGCAGATGTTGCATAATAACCTGCATTGTAGTCAGTGTTCTACAGTGTGCATCTGGTTCTGCATGGAAAGCAATAGTTGTGCAAGTGACTTTTGACCTTTTGATTTTTGATTTAGAACACAGAATATTTGTCATGACTTTCATGAAATCTTCATCACTGACTTACAGGTTTCCAAAGATGGGAGTCACCTATGGAGCCAGTATTTCAGACTGGCACAATGCGACCACCTCATAGCCCACACACCATCCGTCATAAACACCATCCTAACTTCCTAACTAAATGCAAACACACCTGGCAGGTGCACTCTCCTTACCACGCCATACCAGCCCACTTCAGCCCACCTACCCCCTCACAGAGGAACACCATCATGGCCTAGTTTGAAAGTTCTGGTGACTACTCCAAAGGTCATTCCCATTTTTGCAGTGAAAGGAACAGACAGTCTTGTGTGTTGAAATTACTTTCTGTGTCACAGGCTGAGGTTTGTGAATTGCAGTTGCCAACTAGATGCTCCGGAGGCTTCTGTTTCGTAACGGAAATGCTGCATTCTGCTTTTTCTCTGCAGTGTCAATGTGATGGAAGTCCAGGGGGGTGGGGGAGGGACAGTTAATATGACCAAATATGAGTTGTCAAGTTTTACATCTGTTCCCTTAGGCCTATGGGGAGAAGCTACCTAATTTGGGGACTTCTCAGCTTCAGATACCATTTTGCAAGCTTCAGGGTCACAGAACATATTTGATTTCTTCTTTTACTCTGGAGTTTGCAGACATCTGCTTTCCTGATGGTGTGGCCCAGCTCCACTCCACTGCAGTGGAGTATACCAGTCATGCAACAGAGCTGCATGGGTGTTCACTGCATGAATTTCAATATTTAAAACACTGAAGATAATCTATTTTCCTAGTATCCTATACAGTATTCATACATAGAGTATTAATAGCCTTGGAATGGTATTGAACTGGGATTTTCCCCATCAGAAGGCAAAAGCCCTCCATCAGGGAAAAGCAAATTGACTATTTGAATGGGGAACCAAAACTTCTGGCTGGCCCTCAAGCCTGCCCATCTCTGTTATTTCAATGGGAGCAAAGACCCTGCCACACCAGGACAATTGAACAGAAAATTCAGAGTCTAAACACTCAGATGACTGAAACTTAGGAATTAGTCTAGTCATGGGCATGACTACAAAGCTTACCAGGGCATTGATCCTGAGGACAGGCAGATCTGTGGGTTCAATGTATATAAATATATATCAGCTATCTATCTTTCTCATGTGTTCCTCTAGTAAGCTATAGGAAAATTGCATTTGAACATTGTATAAGCTTATGCAATATTTTGACACAGGGCAATTTATGCATGTGTTTGACTATGTGCACTAGAATATATATATACATACACAAAGTGTGTATATGTACATTATATACATGCACATATATATATATATATTCATTCTCTGGAGTACAGATTCAGGAGCAAATCCATTGCTTGGTGGGTTGGTTGTATCAGAAGCCCAATGGGTATGGTAAAACCCACTGGACCTGGGTTTGCTGTCATTGCCTCAGACACACTCCAGTGTTCATGGATTCCTAGACATTAGAATTGTCTTTCTGCCCTCCATGTGCTGCAGCTTCAGTTTCCCATGGCTGAAGCTTGTCTTACTGAGTGCACAAGGGTCCTACAGCCCTCACAGCTCCAGCTATCCTGGGCCAAGCCTCCTCTCTACAATTCGTCTCGTTCATCATCTCCATTATTATCCTCTCCTCTGTTTGATTCTCTATCATTTGGCTCTGCATCCATCATTTTCATGAACCTGTCCCTAGGATGGATCCTCTACTTTGAAACCAAGGAGTAAAACTCCCTGGAACCAGATTCTGCTGATCTAGAGGAAGCCTCCTATTGGTGGAAATTTCCAAATTCCAGAACCAAGGGATGGATTCCCTACAAGGCCCAAAGAATCATTTTGATTACTAAAGTCACACTCTCTCCCTAGCACACTGGTAGTAAGAGCTGACCTTTTTGAAAAAAAGAACCAAGGGATGGGTAAAGAATTACCCCCACCCCAAGAACAGGTAAAGTCTGAATGAGAGCTGTACAGCCTCAAAGTAGAGAATGTGTTGACCCTAGGAAGAGTTGTGGGGACAGTTTTTGCTTCTTCGTGCTGGGCTTCTTTGCCTTTTGACACAGTGGCTTTAATTCCCCAAACACATTGAATCACAGTCAGGGTGTTCAGCATTGATTCCAACCCAGGCATCACTGTTCACTAGTTGGTACCTAGGGGAGGGGGGCACCAGCTCAGGGTGCTAGTCCAGGGTGCTCATTAGTTCCTGGTCACCCACATCCCCAGGTGACTGCAGGGTATCCCATGCCAGGCACAAAGCCTCTGTGCTTCTCTTCTTCTCCTTTGTGGGAGGTGGTGCTGAACTTAATGACGTGGGGTGGGAGGGACATACTTTGGATGTAGGTTAAAGCAACCCATACAGAAGTGTAGGTCAGGGGAAGTTACCTATTCACACAATCCTTGACCAGGGAACCATAAAATATGCACACACATGCATCATAAATAAATGATACATCATTGCCACACACAAATATAAATATGTGACATATGTGCAAAATATATACAGTCCAAAATAATATAAAACCATAAAAGGTAGACAAAACATGCATATGCCACCCAAGCATAGAATGTGCATACCAACACAGAATATCTGCAAGGGGTGTATTTAACACATGTGCAAATGCACAACATAAACCTCATGTGCAAAATATATAAATCCAACTGGAGAACAATGGATAAACATACAAAATACATAAATGATTCTTTGTCATTGTTTCTGCACACAAGTTCACCATATATACATAGTACATAGAATTATACTAGATGCACAAAAAAACAGTACCTATGCCCAATAATACTCACAAAATTTAGACACTGAATCACTGACCATGCCTATGCTTCTACATCTAAAACTTGATGGGCAAAGGCAAGGGATCAGATTTAATTGCTTTTCCTTGCCCATATCAATAACCCTCAGTATTCTCCAAGGAGCATCTTCTTTGACATCCAGCCTCATTCCTGAGACCGAACTCCTGAGGTTTTAAGCAGAAAGATGGGCCACTGCATCAAGCACTGCAATCTCCTGGCCTGACCTTTCACCTTTGTTGAAACAGCACTCAGGGTGCAGGGTGTGTGAAATGAGCGCCAGCAACCTAATATAGACTTCCCCGATATACTTTTTATTCCAGAGGTAATTCACACAGATGACTCAAATCTCCAGATTTGTCCCTATTCCTTTGGAGCAGTGATGGCTCAGAAAACTAGGATTCTGAACCCTAAATCAGGTTGAAATATCCCAACATTCTTTGAGCCCAAAGACCTTATTACCCAGCCTCCCAAAGTACCTCTTTGTCTGAAGCCAGGTCGGAAAATTCATTCTCTATATAGGCTTAGCCCCTAAAATCAGACACCTTTTCTTGCTCATGGCATTTCACTCGCTCTTGGGCACAAGTCCAATGAAGTCAACTCTTGATCCCCATCTATGAGTGTTCAATTTAGGCATGCCTCCCCCCTGCTTTCCCACCAGGGCTCCTAGGGAAGCCTGGCCCCCCATTCAATTGTTGTGCCTTGATAAAATTGCAGACCAATTTAGCTGAAGTAAAATGTGATGAAGGACATTAACCTATGGCTAAAGAAGCATTAACAATTTTTAGAGAGCCTGATTTTTATCCTCTATTCTAACACTAGATTTAACCACTTGGTAAGATTACCCAGCATCCTAGAGCTCTGGGGGGCTGCTTCTTCCTGCTAATAGGATCAGGTGGAGACTGAGTGCATTTGGGCAAAGGCTTTATCTAAAATGAAAATTAGGAGTTGATCCAGCCTTGGACCAAACTTTGTGGGCTCTACTCCTATGGCCCTGGTTATCTTAACCCTCCCTTCAGGGTTCTGTAGAGGAGGCACCAGGAGCAGAGAATGGACATGTGGCCCACAACTTGTACATTTAATACACTGGAATTTGTGTTTCCAAAGCAATATGTCAATTTCCACCCTAACTTCATGAGTTGGCTCTGTGGCCTCAGATTTTTTAAAAGTTGGGGTTTCTGGGAGGTTGAAAAGGAAGGCAATGAAGTTGTCAGGGAGAAAAAGTAACTGAGCTGTAGGCTTTCTGAGTAAATTCATCAAGAACCAAGTTTTCATGGGTTAAATTTAATTCAGGAACCCAAATTTAATCTAGTTAAGGCTCTGTGCCTTCCTGGAACTTCAGAGGTGTATGAGAGTGAAGCCTTGGTGAGAAAAGGCTGCGTTTCTGAGGGTCCTCAGCCCGGGAATTCAGTGCCAGTCGCAGTGGTGGAGAGGAGGTAGAAACGGATCTTCCCCAAAGAAAACTATGAACAGCATGCAAAGGCCATAAGGAGAGCCCAGTGCTCTGACTTGCTAACCTAGACGGGAGGAGGAACCCAGAGCTCTCCTGTGAACCCCGCTTCACCTGTCATAACAATCTTCATGTGTGGGATGCAATGGCTACCTGGCCTGAAAAGGGTCTGATGTCTAGGCTATTACTCCTGGTTATACAATAGAGGTTCCTTTTGCCTTGATAAATTTTCCGTTGTCCAGGTTCAAACTCATGACCTTAACATCCTCACTTGCCACCTGAGTCAACCAGCAGGAGACATATGCTGGGAGCTGTCGTAGTAGTTGTTGTGACTATCATCTGTACCCTCAGACTTGGCCCTTGTTGAGATCAGTCCCCCCAGCCCCCATGGAGCAGAAAGCGGGGACAGGAGGGGTAAGAGAACTCTTACCCTAGTTCCTTTGCCCTTCTTTCTGCTTCCTTTGCCCGTAGAACTCAGCTCCATCCCTCATAGTTTGTGTCTAATGTTTTTAAAAAGGAAATGTGCAATAAAAGCAATAGTGACTGTTTTCTTTAGCAATAGCTCTTTCAAAAACCTTGCTCTCAGGACTGAAAAGTGATAGACAGTTTATAGCTCATCAGATAACGTCCTTGATCTCTGGACATTTGCTCATGCATTTCTGTAGTTCTTCTTCCCACATGATCGCATGAATGGTTCCTGTCTGCCGAGGTCTGACCTCCTTCTGAAATGAACACACACACAGAGGTTCAGTGTTCGCCCAAGGAAGGTCCACGAGAAGGCATTCTTTCCGTCTCTCTTTGGTGTGCACCTCTCTGTGTGTCTCAGTGCCCTCTTCCACTGCCTTTCCTGACTACCAGTTCTTTAACAGCACCCTAGAAATGTCCAGGCACTGAAATCTTGCATTTGAGTGACCTCATGCCAGCCCATCTTGTTGACTTTGTGTTTATCTGTCAGGTATAATGGAAGCCTATAGGAGAGCGCTTACTAATAGATAAGAATAAAGCATCCTGAGCCATTATAGAAGGTCCTTTCCATGCACTAAAAGCCGTTACTTGATTCTTTTGCAGCCCTCTCTGGGGAGATGAATATGAGGGAACATAGCCCTGAGGTGGACACCTGGGATCAGTTACTTGAAAAGGTTTGGGGATTGTCCTCTGACTCTCCTTCACAATAGGCTGACTTGCTCAACCACAGAGACTCTATCGGAGCTTTAGAGCAAAATGAGTCTTATGGCTTTGGGTAGAGGTGGATAGGTACGGAGATGAGGGTGGTCAGGGAATATCATTAGTGAAATAAACCCCAACTCCCACTGCAGGATGCAGCTGTGAAAATATTTCACATATCACCCAGGGTTTTGGAAAGGACCCCTTTCTTGAAGCATCTGTGAAGTGAGCTATTCATGTTCAGACTGGAATCAGGGAGGGCTGGCGACCCCAGGAGCCCATTCCATTCCTTCTCAGTCTTCTTTGCTCCACACACCCTTACATAGCCTAACCGTGGGAAATCTCAGGGAGGAGAGTGTCCTGTATGCTTTACAATCCTGGTTATTTGAGGAGAGATGGGAAAATGTGTGGTTCAGTCTTTGTGATTAGAAAGTAGTACTTCCTTAATAGGTTAGTATAAACTCTTGCCTTAGTTAAGTAGAGCATTTAGAGAACACAAAAGACCTTGCATGGCTCAGAGTCAAACTTCTAAACCTCAGTTCTTGGTGTATGGAGACGGAGGTGAAGCAGATCAAAGAGACAGGTTGAGTGGTGCTGGCTGCAACAAAGTGGATGTGGGCACAGCATAGAGTATCAGATGATGCCCTTGCTTGCCTCTTCCTACCAGAAGTATAGAAAGACAACATGATTCTTGTCAATAAAGGTTTTAGTTCATTGGTCCTGAGTTGTTAGAGTTGTTCCATATATACATATGCCTGTGTGTAGATATGTATAGTACATGTATCTATGTATGCCATTATTTCAAACATTACACAGATGGATGTTGACCATTCTCAGTTTCACTAGTGTGGAATAAATTTGGCATTATAAGGAATACGCTGCGTTTACTTGAATTTTAACATGACCTTTTTTTTTGCATTCTTTCCACCTCTCCAGTTCTGTGCTTTTTCTGCTTAAGAGACTATTCAGAAGGCATTGCTTCAAACAAAAGAACAGGCTCAGGGTCGCCTCTGTCCCTTCCCTGCCAGGTGGCTGCCTGACTCAAGGATCAAAGGGAGGTGTGATCCCAGGGCCAGGTGCTGTCTTATCCTTTATTGTCTGCCTTGGTTGTCTGTAACCTCATCTCTCAAGATTAGAAAAGCTATACCCAACTTTGTAGCTCTAGGGGAGTGGAATGCTCGGAGACTTGGCACAGGGCTGGTCTATTTAGTTTTCTCTTGGTCAGTCTTAAGTGTCCTAGGTTTGAATTTCTTGAGTTTTTTTGGTGAAACTAAACCAGCATGCAGTTGAATCCATTTAGAGACCATTTAGTGGGAGCAGAATGCCAGGCCTAGAGTAACCAAAGCCCTCTTGTCTTCTTGGGGATGAGCTGTGTACACCATTCAAGAAACTTCTGGGTGGGAGCCTAAACATGCCCTCCTCGCTATTTTGCCTGGCAGTGTTAAACTCACAGAGAAACATTGTCCTCAGCCTCATCTCCTGCATGAGACTGTATGTACTCTACTTGGAAGTGGGTGGGAGGGATTCCTCACTAGTATCTGAAACAGTCAAGGTGATACAGGAGTGGCTGTCGTCTCCCCACATTCCCAGAAGCTTGGCAATCTGGTCAAGCGAGCCGTCATCCAGCAGTAGACACCTTTAACCTTGACTTGGCATGACCAGCTGGTAAGTGCTGCAGTTGGCCTATCTATATGGTCACCTCTCATCCTGCATGAGCCTCAGCATGGAAACTCATCTAACTTCCTGTGCTCTTCTACATCCTAAAATAGGCAGATGTGTTCCAGATGAGTGTGCAGCTGAGAAGCCCTTGCATCATTCTACTGACGGATGCATAGGGCAGGTGTGATTACATAATAATGTGGACAGCGCTGCAGCAGCTACATAATTAAGGGAAGTAGAGAAGTGACTGGGTGATAGGACCTTAGGTAGCTACCCAGAGGACTCCATGCTTTGTCTCTGGGTCCTTGTGAGAGGCCCCTAAGCCCTGCTTCTCCTTGAAAATGACTCCCTAGACAGTGCTGCCTTGTTTGTCTGACTGCATAAACACTCCGGGCTGCAGGGAAAAGCAGAGGAGGAGCTTAGGGAAGAGATTGTTTTGTAGCAGACACTTTCCCTATTAGCAGCAAGTGTGACTGACTTCTGAACTTCCGAAGGATAGAGCTGAGACTTTGGCCTGCCAGGTGAGGCTAGAGAGGAGCACAGCCGCTCAAGGCTAAGAACCGGAATAGGGAAGCAGGAAGAGAGGCCTGGGAGGCTCCAGCAAGGGTGAGTCTCAGCTCCTGAGAGCTTGAACATGCTCCGTGCTGCCCCAGTTCTGCCTTCACGTGGGAGCCAGCGACCCAGTTTCCTTTTGTTGTCGTGCTTGGATGCTTCCCTCATTTGAAGGGCTCCAGGAAGCTGGAAAGTCCCATGATTGAGCTCCAGCCTGCTGAACAAACAATGCCCCAGCCAAATTGGCCTCTTCCTGGGTTTCTGCATCCATGCACCCCTCTCTCCCACTGAGGGTGATCTTGGAACAGCCAGGATTAATGGTGTCAGCAAGCAAGGAGGATTCTCTTGTTTCCATTACAGACTGAGCTATAAAGTTCACAAGTGGGGGTGGGGCTGTTGTGTGCTTATGTGCTTATTATATAGGCCATCTCTGGAGAACATATCTATATATAATATATTTCATATATTATATATGTGTGTATAAATATATATGTGTGTGTGTATTTATACACACAATGTGGAAATGGCCACTCACTTAGGCTCATGCAAGCACAGAATAATTAGGGTTTCCACTAGCTTCTTTGCTGTTCATGCATGACTCTGCAGCTGCCCTCATGCCCCGTCTTTAAAGAATCACTGAAAACTCAAAGAGGAGAGGAAGATAAATAAGCCTCTTTGGGATCAATAGGAAAAGGAACTCCAAGGCTGATGGCAAAGCTTCCTAAGGATGATGCTGAAAGGGAACTTGGGTCTCCATGGTGATAAGAGACAGAGAGCCAATAAGAGCTGAAGGCGGAGCGGGACTTGTGTGGAGGACTCATGGGAGTTGGAAGTCATTTAACTATTTGTTTGCTTCATGACAATTTAGACACCAGCTGTAACTGCTTGCACAGGATGTAGAGATGTTATCATTCTTGCTGACATATCCTGGAAGCTTTCAGCCTCACCAACACTGCCCCACCCAGGACTTCTGCAGCTGAGAGTTCCTGTGTCAGTAGGGTCTGGTATATGTACATAGATTATACATATATGTGTACATATGTGCCTCAATGAACATTGCCTGTTCACCTTACCATGGGTGTACATAGACTTCATAGAGCTCCACAGTCTTTTGTAAATATTGACACAAGTAAATAAGTATATAAATATATATTACTGAGGATTTATTTTAACATCATTCTGTGTGAAATGACAAAAATAAAATTTTTGACAGACATCAATGCTTTCTACCCTCTTTTCTTGTTTGGATTATTGTCTTTACAAAATAAAAATCTGCTTGCCTTACTCTCCATTTTCTGAAGCTATGAAGGCTCATCAGACCAGGGCTGCCCACTTGGAAAGCATCAGGGACCACCTTGGCTGTATGCCCATTTTCCATTGCCTACAAGTCCCATGTTGACACTGTGGGACATGGGGAAAGCAAAAATGGGTTTGGGATCTCCTCCATTACATCAGCATCTTCCATACAACGGGAGAATGTATGAGAAAGGGACTCCACTGCAAAGTCCAAAAGGCAGCCTAGGATTCCTGCAACTCCTACTTCATCCACCTTCGCCAGCCCCATTGTCCTCATACCTGAACTCACTTCTCATTTGTAGCACAAGTAATAAAAACTCAGAGACAGATACTGGTGTTCAAGCTGAAGATCAGTAAAGCAAAGCAGCCAGTCACTAGAGAGTTCTTACCTCTACCAAGACTCAGACCAAAGGTCAATTCTGTCCTCAGACTCCAGTTCAGACTGCTTATCTCCTGTCTCCTCCTACCTTATATTACTTTCTAGTGCTGGGATTAAAGGCATGCACCATCACTGCCCAGCTTCTATGGCTAACTAGTGTGGTTCCTGGGATTAAAGGGGTGTGCCATCACTGCCTGGACTCTAGGGCTAGCTAGTATAGCTAGCTTTGCACTCTGATCTTCAGACAAACTTTATTTGTTAGATCATAAACAAAATATCACCATACTCACTACTGCAGGTGTCAAGGAGTCTGGGCCAACTAGACTCTCAGATCTCAAATAGTACTGCCTACCTTGGCCTCTCAAGAAATAGCCAGGCAATATAGTGCTTGCCAAACACTCACATGACACTGAGTTCAATCCCCAGCACTTGCATAAACCAAGCATGATGGTCCATGCCTATAATCTAAGCATTCTGAAAGCAGAGACAGGAGGCCATCCTTAGGTACATATTGAGTTTGAGGATAGCCTAGAATACATAACACCCTGTCCCAAAATATTAAATTAAATTAAAAGGAACAGGGTGGGGCTGGTTCTCTTTTTCTACAAGGCATCTCTTGGAGAAAGTTCTGGTACATATTGCTGAGGCACATATATCTTTCTGCCTTTTAGGGCTAAGTGCAGCTAGAACTGGACTTCCAATCTTTCAGGTGGCCCAGAAACTGCCAAGTATGGAGTATGACCACAACAAAGTCCTTGCCCTTAGCCACCAGCAAGTACAACCTATTTTACCCAGCACCCATCCCTTATCCTGCCCAAGTATCCCATTCCAGACCTCCCCATTTCTCCTCCTGACAGTCTACCATGCTCTTTCCCTAGAAAACTGACCATGCCCTCCCTCCATTCTATCCCGCCCTCGTATCTTAATCTTACCTTCAGAAAGATGTGTTTCTGGGCAGCAGGCACTGAGGTGACAAGATGAAAAAAAATGTGAATTAATTTGTTGAAGTGGGAAATGGAGTCAGGTTCCCAGGCTTGCCCTTTTGTAGTCTATTCCACCAGGTCTGAATTCCTGACTCCAGGAGCTGAATTAAGGGTGGCAGCTGTGGAGACATTTGCCTGTCCCTGACTCCTTGGGTCTTGTTATGGGAAGCAAGGAAGGAAGGAAGAAAAAGATAGTTTTTATGGGTGGGAAGTGAAACAGCCGGGTCCCCCAGTAGAGTATTCTCTCTACTTGGAGTGGAGTGAGTGCTCAGATAGCTCCCTGTGGAACTCCCCAGTCAACTGATCATGCTGGGCCTTTTCTGCCTGGCCTGGAGCTCCTGCCCTGTTCCCTCTCCATCACAGAGGCCAAAGCCCTGGACCATGCCCACCAGTAACTCCCAGTTCAAAGAAGCATGAATGGTGATGGGGTAGGGACAGATCCTATCTAGTTCATGACCAGGTGTGAGCAGGAAGAGACGGCACTGCAGGGTTCCAACTGAGACATAAAATGGTCCCTCCTGCCCTCATGAAAGAACCGCTCCAGTGTCAGGAACTGCGATTTTAATCTCTTATCTGTCCCTCGGAATCTCCGAGACACTGGGACACACTCTTTTATCCTCTTCGAGCCTCAGTTTCCACACATGTACAAAATGAGTCACGATGCCTGTAAAGATTAGTTGAGCACCTGGTAAATCTAAAACATCAATAAAAAATAGATGAATGTATCTTCTCCAGGAATTCAATGTTGAAAAGACTCACAAAGGGCAGGATACTGAGGACTATGGGACATAAGTTGAAGAATTTGGGACTGGGGAAATGCTTCAGCCGGTAAAGTGCCTGCTGCAGATCCCCAGAACACATGGATAACAAGGTATGCACAAATGTAATCCCAGTGCCGAAGAGACAGGCAAGTAGATGCCTAGAGCTCCCTGGCTAGACAATCTAGTCAAACTCATGAGCTCCAGGTTCAGCGAGAGACCCTGTTCAAGAGATAAATGGGGAGTGATTAACGAAGGTGTATCAACCTGTGCCCTACACAAACATAGTGTTAAGCGTTTGCCAACCTCTTCCATTCTAAGGATTCCTAATCTAACCCAAGATGAACCCCAGAAGGTTTGAAACCTCTAGAAAGCATATGTGACATGCCATATTGCAGCCTTTTTGTCTGTAGAAAGTGTCCATAACTGTCCACAAGACCCCAGAATTAAAACTACTATCCTGACCTAGATTTAGATTACTTCATCATGTCTCTAACATCAAGGATGGGAAAAAGATTTTCCCAGAATTATTTTTTTTAATGCACCTGGAGCTTAGGATACTCTTGTCCTGTGTGTCTGGGTGAGGAACTCACCCAGAAGTGTTAGTGGTTACCACAGAGCCAGACTTCACCCACCACACCCACCCAGCCCCACCAGACATCTCTTTCTATTAATTTGTCCTTCTGCAGTAGCCGCGCCAGGGCCTGAGACCCCCAGACTTGAAGTGTCCCCAGGCTGGTTTAGCATAGCTGTCGGAAGGAGCACATGTTCAGATGTGAAATTCATGCTATTTAAATGATATGTAAATGCCAAGTCCGCATCTCTTTGATCCACACTCAACCTGACTTCCTCACCCTGGTTTTTACTCCCTTTTATTCCCTCAGGCTACCTCCTCCTCCCAACAGTCCTCTTTAGGTCAGTAACCAGCTGCTTCCACAAATCACTGCCTTATCAGGAAAAGATCAAGGTTCTTTGGCCGTGTACCTGTTCCATTCTGAACACTTGCCAGGGCTCTGGATGCTTAATGGTTTGTATTGGAGTTAGGAGGAAGATCTTTCATCTGCACGGCTGCCAGCACTAAGGAAAAGCTGCCTCTCTCCAGGTCTGCTGCGATGGAAGATTTACACTCTCTGTTTTGCTGATCGTTTGAGGAGCCAACAGTCATGTGAGAAAGAAAACTGCTGTGAGTTACAGCGCCTTCTTTCCTCACCTACCTCAGCATTGTACATAGCTCACTAATCTCTCAATACCTAGTACCCGAGGCTGCTCCAGACACAACAAATGGCCAATGGATGAACGAATGCCTGCACCGCTCAGTCACAGTGGCAGCCAAGCTGTCTGTGGTGTTGGTCCTGTAGAGACAGGGTGAAAATCTAGGACCCCTTTACCGATATGCAACTGGTCTGAGTCACCTGATTTAAATGGCCCTTGAACAAAATGCCCCCCATGCCTAATGCCCTGCCCCCACATGTTCCAGAGATCTCGAGTCATCTAAAGGCAAATCCCACAGAAGCTTAGAGTTCTCCCACAAGACTTGCAGATTCTAAGTCTGAGGAAATGTTATTCCTTGGGAGTTAGGATTGGGTTCCATTCTCTGCTCTATTGCACAGTACATAACAGTTACAAAAACAAGGTGTGTGGAGGTACTTGAGGGGCAGCACGGTGGTAATAGGGGTATGTGGTGTCCGTGCATGGGCCAAGGACTTACTTGGTGTGCTGTGTACTTCAAAATGTGCTTCCCAAGGGGTGAATCATTAATTTACCTGCAAGTCTTGTAAGAAGGGTATTACCATTTACATTTAACATATGAAACAGAGACTCTGTATTTGTAGGCCAAGGTCACACAACAAAAGAGCTGGCAGAGCCTCTGTGTGGATGAAGCCCTTTCTTAATGAGCCTTACAATCAATAGAATCCTCCTGTTACCACTGCCTTCTTGTCCATGTAACTGAGGGCATTCAAAGCCTTGGAAGAAGACAAATAAGATGCCATCTGCTCTAAGTAACCTTGATAACAGTCAAACCAACCCATGTAACCTGGCGAGTGCTAGGTTGGGAAAGGCCTTGGTTTGGGCTTTAAGCCCATCATGCAGATCCCTGGAAAGTGGCAGCAAAGACCTGTGGACAGGGGAAGAAGCAGTTCCTCCCTTTGTAGTTCAAGAAGCCAGACCAGGCAGAAAGCTGAGCTAGAGCATCATGCGCTAAGGGTGTTAGATGGATGAATCTCCTGCCAGGCACTGTTCACAGTAACAAGGCTAGGACCCCAGCTGAGTGTTACCCCATTTCAGGAGGCAAAAGCCCATTCAGGTCCCAGTCAACAGAGTCCAAGGCAGCTAGTGACAGGTACCTTGTGTAAGGTCCACAAGCCAACCACCAAGCTTGGCATGCCTAGCATTCCTACACTAGGTGGAACCAGAAGTCTGTGAAAGACCAGGAGTTAGACAAACTCCTCAGTAGGCAGACGGGTAAAGACGGGGACCATGGCTAGCTATTAAAAGGTAACGAATTTCCAATATGGCCAACTTCTTCCTCGCCCTCCTGCTTTGAAAAAAAAGACCTAGCAGTGTAAAACAAAGGCTTCCTTGGCTTTTACCTCTCCCTGGCAGCCTCCTGCTGATGGACTAGCTCAAGGCCTTAAAGGCCAGATCAGGACCAGTCACACCACAGTTCTGGGCCAATTAACCGCCCTAACTTTCTCCAAACTGACCAACCCTAAATTAGGGGAGGAAGACTCTTCAAAGACTTTTTAAACCCATCCCTCAGTAGAGACTGGATTTTGCAGCTTTAGGAGTCCTGGGTCCC